CATACCTCATTAAAATCACCCTCAGTAAGGTCTATTTCTGGGTGTTCTCTGTGTAACCTCTGTGGGTCAGGCTTCACCGGAGAGTAACCTTTTCCAGCTGACAAAAATAATCTCCAGCAAAGAGAAAGTTTCATTGCTGAACAGAGAAGCAAACCGGAAATCAGCTCCCAGCAAAGCATTTATTAAAAAAATTCACTTGGTGAACCCTGTTGAGTCCTGCAAATTGAGGCCATTTGGCAAGTTAATAGCATTGGCAACTGCTGCCCTTGCAAACCATAAAAAGAAAGCATTTCACTCCTATTATTTCTCACTGCAGCCAACATTTTGTTGTTGTTTAAGAACACCTACTTTGTGTTTTTACAAAAATTAGCAATACAATGAATTTGCTCAGCACCAAGTCCTTCCCCTTAAAAATGACTGATCTAAGAAAAATAAACAACTCCTCCTCATCATTTAAGTCTCTTAGTTATGCTTTATTATATACAACACCAGGTTCTGACAGTGAATTCATTTGTAGTCTCTGTGGAAGCAGCAATCTCAACCACAAAACAACACAAATACATTTTTGTAAGTTGGTCTCTAATTCTTAAAGCTACCAATGTGTTTGTGTACAAGAATTAAGGTGAGAGGTGTGTGTAATGAGCCTCTGCTATTTACAGATAATCAGAACTACACAAAAAAAAAAAAACAAAAACAAAAAAAAACCCCAAACCAACACATTTTCTCCCCCAGAAAACTCAAACCAACCAAACTACCTCTTTGTTGTGCTCATGAGAGCTCATCCACGTCCTTTTTGTGCTGGGGAGCCCAGAACTAAATACAACACTTTGGTATTGCCGCATTAGTGCTGAGCAGAGGGGGTGAATCAGCTGCTGTGACCTTGTGGTAAAGCTCTGCCTAAAGTGTTCTAGATCGCATATCTATGGGTTCTGTGTCCCCATCTCTGAACCATTTCTACAGCTGTAGAAAAGACCTAACCTAAGCTTGGGTGGTCCTGTGCAGAGCTATGAATTGGATGCAGCAACAGTCATGCATCCTTCCAGCTCTGGAGATTCTATGATTCTTGAAGGAGCATCACCCAAGAAAAGCTAACAACTTGATGGTCACATCACCAAACTACATCTGAAAGGCACATTAAATCCTAAGGAAGGGCATGGAGCAAGAGAAAACCATGTGAAGTTTACTTAGAGAAATGTGATGGCCATCAATTTGACATGGGGCTTTGCATATGCTTGAAAAGAAATTCCACGTAGGACTGCAAAGGCTTTTCCAGACAGCAGTCTGGGTCAGATTCAAGGTACCTTCCTGAAGAAAATCCAGATGTTCCTATTTCACTGAAAAATGCACACATAGCTTCACTCAGCCTGCAAGCTTCAATCACTTTTTTTTTTTTCTCCATTTAATTCAGCTTGAGTCACGCAGCAAAACCATCTCCAACTGAGAAGACACTTTATTTACTAGAGCTTCATTGCCCTCTGCGATTCTGACAACTAATCAACAACCAACTGGTTCTGTTTTGCACAGTTTCCAGTGCTATACTAGAAGGTTAAAATTTAATGCATTGGCAAAGTCAAATCTCAATTATCCAGGGTAACAGAGTGGAGAGAGCTCACAAAGTAAGAAATGCAGATAAAATACATTCAGATAAGCTGTATGAACAAAAAGTGAGGGTAAAAGAAAAAAGAAAGAAATTTCATCCTAGATGAAAAGTGATCCCAAACACTCCTCTCCCATTTTCTGGATTATGCCAACCAGCTATAAAAGGAAACCTGGAGTTGCTGATGGTATCCAGTATTCCAAAGGCTGCCCGATAGAAATAGCACAGAGACAGATCCCACAAGTCCTCTCAAAACATCTCCAGAACGCTTGTGCAACATTATTACTGCTCCTCAAACCCCTCATGCTAGCCCCTAAGACACAATACATACTGGCATAGTACTTCAGCACATTGTATCATCCCCTTCTTCCTTTTATTTTAGGGATTTTGAACTTCAGGGAAGATGTAGTGACAATTAAACATTAGGCCGACAAGAGTCTACTGAAGGACTGGGCCAGGTACTATGCAGCACAGATGCTAGCAGCCTGCCCCAGGCGCTGGCCCTTAGCACCACAAACAAGGATCAGTTTTCACCTATGATGTACCCAGGGGACACCAGGACAAAGATGAGGTCCCAGGCACGAACTGGGACAAGCAACAGTAGTTTTCTGCGACTGGCACCTCTGTCCCCAGTTAGCAATAAGGAGCTGCCCTTATAGCTGCTTCCTGCCCTTAATGAGTTATTACAGTGCACTGAAATGCCACAAGGGAGCAATGGGAATGTGAAACCACGGACATCATTCTCTGCGAGCGTCAAGTCCACAAAAGCAGATTTTCATCTGGCACTTTCAGGAGTTCTGATTCACATTTCCAGTCCTTAAAATATTTCACAGGCACCAGGAAATACCTTTTTGCTTTACTCCATCACCCTGAAAATAGGTGCTGAGTTCCCCATCTTTTCTGTGTGGATGCAGCACTCCTCTCTTCTGGAGCTAAATCACTGTGAAGCTCTGTTCAGTATCATTAAAGCATCATTCAGCTCAGTCCAAAGTTATCTGCATTGCAGCAGATTGATGGTTCTTCTATAAATACTAAATAATTTGGACTGGAAAGCACAGAAAAGCCAGATCTCATTTTAATTTGGATGTAAGATATATATCAGTGGCCTTTGCCTAAAGGTCTGTCACTCCAGCTGAAAGCTTTACAGAGCTTTCTGACAAAGGTCAGAATACTCAACATTCTGTTTTAAATTCTAATAGGAGGTGAGAGATACATTTCTTAGTATAAATATTTATATATAAACATATTTTATATAAGCATATATACACACACTCCTAGTCCTAAAATATCTCAGCATATGTGTAAGTGTAACAAATACTGTCACAGAGTCACAAGTGAATGGAGTAACATACTGTGAGTCTGCAGTGACCTGAGATGTGGATCTGAATAGAAAAAGAAAATTACTTGATATAAAGGGGGGCTGGCAATTTTAGTGGTGCTCCTTCTGCACTGAAATAAGCAAGTTAAGACTAATTGGCAATGTAAGCTCCAAGAGGTCTTGAGATTGAGAAGATGGTAAACAAAAACTAACCTATCAAATCTAGCACATTATCACTGTAGAAAACCAGAAAAAAATAGAATGGTTTGTACTGTTCTGTTACACTAATAATCATTTCACAGAAAAGAGGTTTAAAATATTCATTGGCTACTTTTCCCTGCAACCAACAAAGAGCAGGCTCGTTGCACTCAGTTTGTGTGCATGCTTTATACTCTGCACAAAGGTGCTTCCACACTTACGAAGAGCACATCTGCCACAACAGAAGCCATACATTACTGGCAACACTAATGCTGCCTTATGAGTCGTGAGAGGTCCAGAAGCATCAGGTTGGTTCTTCAAGGCAGCCCTTCAGTCTTCCATCATGCAAACCTTGCTTTGACAGCCCATTCACACAAACAGGGACAGGCTGACCTTTGCTCAGCACCACCTGCAAACACAGTGAGAGCTGCCTTGTCCTTTCAACCCGACAGTTCCATACTTACTGCACTCAGTCTTTGCTTTAAACACACCCTTGAAGAGGACAAAACTTAATGCCTCGAAGTGATGCAGCTAAAAAACCGAAAACTTTCCACAGGAAGCTGAGAGAGAGTAACCCCTAAAGCTCATTATTTCATATGGAAGCATTTGATTATCAAGTTGCAACTTACTCTAAACTGGTCGAGATCCATGAATTGGGAGCACAAGGGCAATTTTCAGCCAATAACGGGAAGGAACTGGAGTTGAGATGGGAGGGATTAAGTCCCTTTCCCTTTTCTTTTACAACCTTCCAGAAACCTTCTTTCTGAATTGTACCCCTCCTATCTCTCCACAAGCACATTCAGCAGGGCTCCTGAGGAGCCTCAAACCACTCATGTCTAATTCTCTAAAACAAAAGCAAAATAAGGAGCTGCCTGATTAAGCATCAAGGAACTGTTTTTGTGTCTTTTTTTCCCCCTTTCATTCTGAAAAACACCTTCAGTTTTATGGAACCATATTGACAACTGCTTATCTCAAAGATTACCTGTGAGCAGCAGGGCTACCCATCTGATAGGGAAGAATTTCTCGCATACTGGGAAGCTAAGTCACTGTGCTATAAAAGCAAATTAATACGACTTAGTTGAGTGCCAGAACTACCTTCTCCCTTTGGAGAACTTCACCAAAATTAAGCACCTGAGCCAAGTCTGCATGCCTCTGAAACAACAGAGGAAACTAGAAGAGGTGATTCTGCTAGCTGCAGTAATACATCAAGAACCACAGGCATACTCAGAGATAAGCAGATACCTGGAAATGGCATGTACCTCCGAAGACATCTAATATGAAGGGAAGGGGAAAACGTGTGGCATTTTCTTCTCATTCACCTAACTCATAAGAAGCTTGATTCAAAACTTCACTAGAAATATTTTTAAAAGCTTTAAAAACAAAGCATGTGTGTGATGCATGCAAAACAATCCTGAAAGGTGAAGCTATGCCAATATTCTGAGTCGAAATTTAGATGTAGAGTTATTATGGACATTTATTCCATCAAAATTTGCTTTCTTCCTCTGGGGGGTGATTCCTCCTACACTACTGTATCAATTTCACTTCTGAAGTGCTGCATTAATGGTCCAGGCTCTCTGTGCCCATTGCCCTATAAAAGATCACATTTTGTTATGTGGAACATAAAATGCTGCAGAGGAAAATAAATTTGTTTCTTTTTTGTTCCCCTGCCTGCTTTGGTGCCTGCATTAACATAGTAACTCTTTAAATAAATTCTGCATACTGTTTTGTTTCCAATTTATAAAGACACATAAGATAGTGCCCCAAGCAGTTATATTCTGAACCAGTTCTTTACTCTTACAGAGCCTGAGGGCAGGAGGGGAACTAATTTGCCATTTCATAAGCTGTAGGGCTCATAAAACTCAACCATATGCAGAAGTGTGTACTCACACGGTGCGTAGAACATGACAAGGGTGTGCTTCTTCTTCTTCAAGGACTCCCTGAAGTCTTCTCCAGCAAGATGGATAACACTGCTCTGTTTTTCTTCCCATGCAGGCTCAGGTGGAGGTGGTGCTTCAGGACTAGAAAAGAAGTGAAATCAGTTTGAAAATGTTTTTGGAAACACATGAACAAGGCATCACATCCTGGTCATAGCTACCCTGAGAGACCAAGGCAAAACAATCCACCATGGTGTCTGTGCATTATGAAAACATGCTCAATATTTCCAACATCAAGTAACAAGAAGATGCTTATTATTTTCTGTAACTCAATAAAAATAAAATTTAAGTGATCTTATTGAAGCATACGAATAGGTATGCAGAACAAAGATCTTCTATTATATATCCAACATCTGGCTGGAAAGAACATTGCTTCTAATATCACTGTGGGCATGAATTGAGAACAGCAAGCAGATGGAATCAAAAGGCAACCAATATAGGACAGCATCTTCCATTCAAACTCCCTTTTTGTTCTCTTTATTGCCATCACGCAAACTTCTATAAAGAATTTCATGACCCTCTCTTGAATTCAGATATTAAAGCCAGGATGCAATAATCAGTATCAATCCACTTGGAAGGCTGGGGGTGACTGAACTGGAATATTTTACCTTGATAAAGAGAATGTCATGTTTCAATTATGACTGCACATACTGACTAGATCAGAGCAATCCTGCATATCTAGAGCACCTCTAACAAAACTTCTGCTATTCACCAGCTCACAGACTTCTCTCAGACTCATTAAATTCATTCCTGCTGTATTCTTAAATAGTGATTACTTACATAAAATCATCAGAATGGAGCCACGGTATGAAGACCTTCATATGTCGCCTTGGTAATAAATTAGATTTTTAGACTTTCCTGTCACTTTGAATGACACATTAAGTTGTATCAGGTGCATAAAAACTACGTGGAGAAAAATCTCAATTTTTAAAGTTCTTCTCAAGGTCACTTGATGGACATCCATTTTATTTGCATCGGTATCGATTTGCCAGCTGCTAGCAACAGAATTAGGCCAGCTGATCTGAGCTTTCACACAAACACTCTTGGTGTGAGCTATCATCGATTACAGTTACAGTCAGAGGTGCGAGTTCATCTCACATGGACCTCCCCATGGTGACCAGAAATAAGTTACGCAAATACTGCTAACAACAGTGCGGCAGCACAGACTACAAGCCCAACAAAGACTGGGAAATGGAGCTGAAATCCATGCTGTCCCAGACAGACCACTAAGCAGGACAGGTTTCCACAAGCTTTAATTTTATCTCTAGCTTGTACCCCACACGCATCCCTATTCCTTCCAACTTCAGAGCAGCTATAACAATTTGATCCCACATAAGCAGATAAGGATGTTATTCTACTGCAGCTCTCTTTGGGAAAGCATCTAGCAGTTAGACTAGGAGACAAGGAGGCTGTATTGCCCCTGTGTGAACTGGTAGATAAAAGCATTCTAGCAACACAGCTGGATCTGGGAGGGATGAACACCCTCTTCCTCAGAGCTTATTCACCCGCTGATATGAACAGGCAGCATCAACCTGAGTACTTAATACAACAAAAACCACATCATGTTCAAAATCCTCCAACAAACTGATGAAACTAGGCCAGAGATTTAACATCCACTATTGACACAACAGCCTGTGTAAGCAAGGAGGCCAAGAGTACTGTCTGTGAATGTACAGTGCAGATAAAACTGCTCAACACGCAGCAAAGATGCTGCCAGGCTAAACCTGTTACCTGATCTGAAGTACTCAGACACAAACACCCTCCCCTAATCAAATATGAGTCGGAAAAATTAAAATTATACTCCTCACACCATCTGCACTTAATGATTAAATGATTTTAAAGCTTCACAAGACACAGATGTTTTCCACTGAGTGTGGAAATGCTTTATACTGCAGTGCTTAAATAAACACATTTTATTCTAAAATATTTTGAGATTGTATGAATAACTTTCTTCTTTGAAATGAAATTATTTTCAACATACATCAACTTATGGATATTTTAGCACATCACTAGAGGAAAGCGGGGAGGTGCAGACAGGTGGGTGCTGCTTCTGTTGGTCTGGCTTTCCTTCAGCCCCATGCAGCGGGCAGTGCAGGCACTGACTCTGAAAAGCTGGAAGGAGAAAAGTGCAACTACACAGCTTTAGTTACTTAGTGAAGTCTGCTTCTTGGTCTAAAGAGGGAACAGCAAACAATCTGTTTATTTTCAGAACCACTGCTATTCCTTCTCTGGAGAGAGGCTTAGTGTACATTTGAAAAATATTTACTTGGGGAAAGAATTACCAGGACAACAATGAATAACCCCACAGCAAATAAAGGATTTGGTGTATTAGAGATCACAATTAACATACATGTTTGTATGGCTTTAAATACTGGAATTCAATTTGCTTCTGTTAGCAAGGGATTTAGGCAGCTGATGAAGCCAGATTTAAGATTTGCACCCTCAGAAAAGCAGACTTCAGGAGGCAGTAGACAGAACTTACTTTTGCAGCCAATCGATGATCTTCTTTTTCGTTCTGAGGTGTGGCAGAGTGTATTTCTCTTCTCCATCCTTAAAGTACTTCACCGTAGGAAACCCTGAGATGTGGTATCTTTCTGCCAGTGCTTTGTTGACAGTAGCATCTACTGCTGCAAGGACACCTGGGCTCTACAACATAAACAAACAGCTATAAATCAAAGGAAAGCACACACACATCTTTGGCAAGAAGCAGTGGATTTGGGCACAATTAATTACTGAGTCTAGCTGCCTTGCTTTCTCAGGTCCTCAGTGAAGATACAAAGAAAGGCACAGGCCTGATGGAAAGCCAGGAAGGGACATCTTACGGACTAAATGTAACCAGTGTATTATTACTCGTTCTTTTTCCCCCTTCTGACAAGATTTCCTATAGACAATTCTTTCTGTAGTGCTTAAGAGCTGCTCCAAGGAAGAGCATTTCCTCCCACAAGTCCATTTCTCCCAGCAAAAATAAATTGTTAAAGACATATTTGAAGGCAAATTGATCTCTTCCTGACTTGTGGGTAACTTTACATGGATGACCTTGACAATTATGGGAGAACAGACATTTGTTGGATGTGACTGATCTGCTCTTTGTTCTGCACATCTCCCTGTCCTCCAACAGTGACTCCAGATGTCTACAATGGAGATGTCTGAAGTTTGGGGAGATGAATCCTATTTCTGCATGGTGTACACAGAGCAAGGCTGGATCAATACCACTAATACTTACACTGTCAAGACTGTCCTCTCCAGCTATGCTGATGGAGCACTTAAGATGACGCTAATGGAGTGATGCAACCATAAAAGCAGGATGCATGAAAGAGGGATCAAACCCCTTTGTTTTGTTTTTTTTTCCAAATCTAATTCATAAATAAAAGTCTGTTTCTTCACATTCAATGACTTTAAATAAAGCAAAAAAAATCCTTTTTGGATTTGATCATATTATGTACAAGCCCTGCAGCAGAATACATAAACGTTTTTCGATTTTGTTTTCGTTCAAGACAGAATGTTCTTTCTAAGACTTTGGCAGGCCTCATGCATTAGCGATGAGACTGTTCTTTGGAAGCACATTTTGAAGGGTCCTGTGGGAGGATGAGAACAGCTGAATTTGTTGTAGGAAGAAAAGTCACTTTTATTAGTCCAGTTATTTATTACTGATTATTTGAAGGATATAATAAAGGAAATTAGCTTACATCACTGCCTGCATGGAGAAACTCTGCAGCCTTCTCATATTCTGGCTTCATTTTCTTACAGTGCCCACACCCTACCAAAAAAAAAAAAAAAAAAAAAAAAAGTTAACTTGTACATGCCATGGTTATTTGCTGACCCATCCAGCCATTACCACAATCCAAGCCCATGTGGTAGGGCGGTAGAGATCTACTAGATTTCAGTATGCATTTTGCTTTATTAGTAAAGGCTTACTATGATTTAGGATGTTTACAAAGCAGTCACAACAATTTGAGCAAGGAATTTAACCTTCTTAGAAACATTTTAGGAAACTCCACAGATTCACACCCAGACCACTTTCCTCCCTGAAGCTCTATTCGCAGTACTGCTCAAACCCATCACTTCTAGCACACTCTTGGGCATGGCATGAGCTAACCCGTTTTAGTTTCCAATTCTTTATCTGCATTTAAAAGAAACAATACAGGCTCTCACATGACTTCCTGACTTTAAGCAGAGGCTTATGCTAGCATAGCTTAATAGAGTTGTGTAATTTGAACTAAACTGCATTGATAATAAGCCATACTTTACACTGGTGTGGTGTGTCCCTCTAGCAAGGATTTGCACTGATTTAATCACGTCAGCGTAATTACACCACCACATATGTTCTCAACATAAGTAGGCCTGTAAAACCAAGATAATGGTGCTTCTTTGCTTGTGCGAATTCTCCAGAGAGATCTGTCATTACTTCACTGCTTAGAGCTGACATAATAATAAAGTAAAAAGAATGAACGAATGAGAAAGATTTAAAATAAACTATCTGGGTGCAAATTAAAATGCTTTCACCTGGTACAGCTGCTTCCATGCAAACTGAGCTCTTTGGGATCAGGTGAGAGTCCTGTGGTGACAAGGGATGCTGAGACTTGAGGGGGGAGCAACAGGATCGATGCAGTCTTGGTGCACCGACTGTAGATGCAGAGCTACCATCAGGTACACTGCACAACCCTTCAGTCACGCTGTTGCCTGCCCTGGCACAATGCAACCCCTGCAAGACCTCACCATACTTCAGCACAGCCTGCTTCTCTTTCTTCAGCTGTTATTGTTGGAACACACATTTGAAAGTTAAGACTTCGCTGAGCCTCCCAAAGTTGTAACAGCAAATACAGCTAGAAATCTGTTACAGGATGGCTTCAGCAACAGCAGCTCCTGAGGCATCCAGGCAAAAAGGGCTGAGGTTATTTTTACACCACTGTCTAAAAGAGAATCAAGCCAGGGTTGAATCTTCATGTCACTCTGATTCCCACTAATGGGATGCCTGACAACAACCAGACACAAACCTGACAAAGATTTGGAGGTGAATTTGGGAAGAGACTGAAAAAGGCTGCGGAAGAGTTACTGCCTCAGCACTGCTCGTCTTGAGTAAGAGCACAAAAGAGCCTGGCAAAATGATTTATTTGCCACCCACAGACAACTTGCAGGCATATGGCTTTCTGGAATGGGCTGACAGCTCCCTTTGACACCTGCCTGAATTGATTTATTTCTTCCTTTAAGAGCAGGGAACTTTATCCATTTAGTGCTCCTCTTCACTTTAAGTAAGGGGCAGCTCGAATCACAGCTCACGTACCTGGGAACTTCATTGAATTAGCTCAAATCATTTGTTTGGGGAAAAAAAGAAAAGATTTTTCTGCAGAGGTAAGTTCATCTTGGCAGGTGTTACACTGTGTTCGCTAAAGCCTGACCAAATAGTGCTCTAAATACTGGATCCACACATCATCTGTTATATTCCGTAGTTATAAATACTAGATCTGACCAACTAAAAGCATCAAACAACTTCAGTTTTCACATACCTATGCAGAGAAAAAAGGAACTGAGCTAGGCATACTTTGACCAGGTATATATTAAAAAAAAAAAAACAAAAAAAAAAAAAAAAAACAATTCAAAGCATATGAAATTTGTGTAAATAAAATTTTGGATAAATATATTCATACTAATAAGTTTCAGCATTCTGGGTTCTTCAAAACATCACACAGATACAGCACTACAGATTTAGAATCACAGAACTGTTCAAGTTAGAAAGGACCTTCAAAGGCCATTTAATTCAACGCCCCTGCCATGAGCAGGGACACCTCAGCACCATCAGGGCACTTAGAGCTAGCTAACTCACACTTAACATAAAGGGAAGGCAGGTTCAGGTCTTTAAAGGCATTTAAATGCAAGCTGAAGTCCTCCAATCTTTATCATGCAACGCCTGTCCTAGCCCTGGCAGAGGACAGTAGGAAGTGCCAGTCTAGGGAAAAAAAAACCTGAAGATGGGACAAGAAATCTCAAGAGCTTCTCCCATGACAAATGATGTTTATCTGGCCATCTTTATAAGAATTTTGCTATTGCATGCCACAGCCTGGTCCCATCTACCAGGGCAGAGGGTGGAGAGACAAGTCAGAAGTCAGATCCACACACCGCAAACCCATTCATCTCTCCTACAATTATTTATCCTACCTTTCAACAGTCCTGCGAGGATTGCCATTAAATTCAAGGCCAATGAAAAAGTTGTTTAAATGAATACCAAGGTCACCATCTCTCCTGTGACTGCCATGTTAGGCTCTTCCGCAGCAGTTGTATCCCCCTGCACTAAGCTTCTCCAGTTCTAGAAATTTTCTGTCAATAAAATGAATGGGAAAACAATAACAACCCCACAGGCTCTCAGCCCAGATGTTTCAGTGTGCTGCATAAAGCCTCATTCTGCTCCAGCAGAAGAAAAGGACAGGTTCCCTCCGTCCTGTGGATGAGTGCCTGCTTCTGCAGGTGGGCTGTGGGGCCTGGGCACCTCAGATGCCCTCCAAGTACATCATGTGGCTCAATGTCCACAGAGATCCAGGGTCCGAGGTGCTCAAATGGCAAAGAGCATGCGGTGTAAGTCTAAAGGAAGAGTGTTACAAGACAAAGAGGTAAAGCTTACAAAAATCAGTGCTAGGACTTCTGGTACAAGATAGGCTCTTGTTAACCAGTTAAAAGAGACGCTTAAATGAAGTGAGAATTCTGTTTTCCCAGTTTATTTATAATCTATCTTCATGTTTGTCACATAGCTTGGCAGATAAACAGCTCCTTCCTTTAGTGCAGCTGTCACAGCTCACCTGGACCCTTCCAACAAGGGCCACTGTGGGTTCCTCCATTCAAACAGGGCAACCTCCCTCCCGAACTCTGCTGCAGGACAGCACTCAGCCAGCACTCTGTCCCTTCCAGAGCATGATCATACTCCTGCAAAGAGGGATGGCCAAGCATGGACGGAGTGATGCTGACGTGTGGCGCACTGATGATGGGAAATGCACCAAACAATTTCTTTCCCAAGTATCTGTATTCACTTATAGCAGCCTGTTTGGTATTGCTGCAGACACCACTCAGAGTGCATTTGCTGCAAACTCTTACAAAAGGAAATAACAAACACTCCCATTGCTATCAGCTAGTTTTGCCTGCAGAGGACAGGCAGAAAAGCAGCCAAGCATCCTCAGCTAAGCTCCCGCATGTGCTATCTTAGTGCTGGCTCCAGAACATAAAAATGTTTCTCTGTTATTTATTGTTTCCTTCTTTCAGGTTATTACAGTTATACAATTAAACAGTAGTTTTTGGTAAAATCCTTGCATTTTAACACAACGCTGACTGAGGACCAGAAGTATATGTGACAAGCAAGAGATAAAGACCAACATCCAGGTGACTGGATAAGGAATTTTCGGCATGGAGAACCCTAGAGACTAATCAAATTGCAAATAAAGATTTTAAAGAATCATTAAATTTCTGCTATCGACGGATTGCCTGAGTGCTGTTATCGTGTCCCAGCTATTATCACACCGTGCCATCTCCACACACATTTATAGCTGCATACCAAAATATTTCCATCAACCCGATGAGAAACCAAATTTGAAGCACAAAATATGCCCTGCTCTCAGCAACTGAGTCAATAGCATTTCAGGCTACATTCAGAGATTTACCAAGAATTTGAAGAAAAAGACAATCTAAAAAAAGAAATTCAGTGACACCTTTACTCTTCTAAGCATTTAACACAAGGAAATCTTGTGGTTTCTCTATTCTTAATCCCAGAGGAACAGTCACCTCTAAACGCCACAGAATAGCCAGCCCTGCCTTACATTTTCCCTGCTTTATGTTTGAACCCATATGATCAGAATCATTAAGGCTAGAAAAGACCACTAGGCTCATCTATAGTCCAGCCATCAGCCCATCACCACCATGTCCACTAAACATATCCCTCTTGTGCATATTAAAATGGGAGCATGTATGTGGTGGGGAGGTGCTAATAATCCTGTGGGACACAGGAAGGAATACAGAAGCCCCAGCCCTCTCATTACCTATATGAGAACACAAACGGATTCTCTCCTGCCACAAGTGTCTTTACCAGGCAAAGATTTCTGAAGCAGAATATAACAGTGTTACTCTCTGGTTTGATGTGAGACAGCTTGTAGCTCTTCTACCACTGTCAGAGAGCACAAGAACAACAGCTGCAGACTCCCTTGCATAATTTAGCTGTCTGCATTGCAGACATCTGGTGGGAAATCATCCACAAATTTGGCAGGGAGGGTTCAAACAATGATGGAAGCTTTTTCTCCCCCATAATCACAGGTACGTGTTTCAAGATGGGTTGGATCCATGTTCACTTAACAGTTGCAACAGTTCACAAAGCCTGGCTGCTTTTGACCCAGGCTATGAGAACACAGAGGAACTAGGAAGATGGAAGCATAAGGAAGTGCTTCAGTGTTTTGGGGCAGTGCTGTGTCCCACGTGCAGAGCTGCTGGCACTAAGGCAAACATCAGCCCTGCCTGAATCACCACCAAGGGATTCTTACGGACACAGTGAGACCCCTAGGAGGGCATGGGAATTACCTGACCCTGCCTGTGCAGAAGGATGCACGCAGAGCCAGCCGAGCTTCTACTACTCTGTATCTGATCACCTTGGCTACAGAGGTGAAAGCATTTGAGATCCAATTCTTGATCATCTTTTATCCTTGCTGGCAGAATTATTTTCCCCAGCATCACTGAAACAGCTCAGCAGATTTGCTCTAGAGAATTAAAGTGCAAGATAGTAGGATTTTT